TCTTGCAGTGCTGCTACTTGTTCTGTAACCTTTCTTCTTGCTCTGTACCAGTTACCCTATTTAATAAAGCCTGATCCATATTACAAGGAGACATTTCTTCTAATTATCAGAGAGCTTTATTTCTACTATTTTCTTCTAATAGATGACTCCTGCCTCTAAAAGTAGCAGGCTACCTAGAGTATTTCCCAGTAGATGATGACTGATGACATTAGTGCTGATGACTGTGCTCTGAGTTTTACCTGGATTGTTTCATGCCGCAATTTTTTGCGCATTAAGATTACAGGCCTAACTGTGAAAGCTGTTCCAGCTCTCCAGGCAGCTAGTGCCTTTTTTTGAGTTGGTTCTTACTTCAGCTGCCTTAAAAATATAATTAATATAATTTTGCTTCCTAAGAAGATATATTTTATTTACCTTTCTGGCTCCTGAAGAAAAATTACATTAAGCCAAAGAATGATAACAGGAAGAGGGAAACTCAACTTTTATCTCATTTTAAAGATGGCAACATATCCACTTGACAAGATAGACTGAGTGGTTTTAACCTTCCTTTGCTCTCCTGGTCTCGTAGAGGTTTGATTCACACTTATAAAATTATCCTGCAGGGACAGAACTGTATTTACAGACTTTCATTTTTAATCAACAAAACTTTCACATCCTCTTCTATCATTCACGCCAGCTGTAGCCTGCATGTCTAGCAGTCTAGCTACTGTAACACGTCTCAGCATAAAATGAAAATCCACCCAAGAAGCAAATTACTCGTCTCCATAATCCTGCAGCAAGACTACTACTGGAAGTTGAGTTAGTTTGTTTAAAGTTAGCTTGGCTAGATCTACACTATACTGCAGTGACTGTGATGCATTATACCTGAAGTGTTCACTGTGGGAGAAAATAACTTCGCTGAGTAACTGTAACAAGCCTGGTCACATTTTATACAATAAAATTCAACAGGATATTTTCAAAGGCTGTTGTAAATAGAGTAGCATCTCTGATTTGTTGGGAAGAGCTTCCCAGTGACAGGAAATAGGGCGAAGTAACAAACTAAACAATGTGAGTGAGCACTGCCAGAATAAAACATTTCCCTAGCCAATTATAGAAAGTTCAATCTTGCACTCAGAGCCTGGGAGATAGGTATCAGTTAACTCAGCTAAAAGTTCCCATATGAGGAAATCCTACAGATTTTAGTAGAAATTAAACTGAAATAGAATTTTATGGAAACTGTTTTGCATGACTGAAAGAAAAAAATGCAGAAATAACAGAAAATGATGTCATTCCTGTAGATGTTCTATTGCAGCTGTGCTAACTCTGTGCATCAGCGGCCATCCATTCTACAGTTATTCCAAACCAGTCAAGAGCTGTACTGAGTCTTGTATCAGTTCTGTGTAACTCCACAAGTTGGTTTAAGCTAAGGGCTTCTATTCCTTATTCAGTTCTGTCAACTTTTTCCAAAATGACTGTTTACAAATGTCTAGAAAAACCAGATGTAGAAATTCGAGGTAATAAATTATTTGCAACAACTTCTGTAGTCCTTTTTCTGGGTCTTTAGATCCAAGACCAAACAAGCTCAGAAGAAAGTGCTACTGCATTTACTGACTTTATTACATGAGCTCTAGAAAACAAATCAATACCCTTTGAAGCTTTTGAAAAATCAAAGGTTTAAGGACACATCAGGAATGAAAAACTGCTTTTTGAGATACATGATGCTGAACTGCCACAAACTTAGGTCTTCTGCCAGCAGTGGTAAAACCCCGATTTCTGTATAAGCACTCTAGTACTGAAATAGTTAGTGTTAATAGCTACAGCGAAAGCCTGTGGCCAGCAATACCAGTTTCCTCTTGCAAGAGAAATAACCATGGTAACGCTGTGGTACAAGCTGGCTAATACTAACTTTTCATTGGTGGCTTTTGTACTACTGAAGATAAAAATTCAGTCTCTTTAAAGGTTTTGATGTGTTCTCTGATACATGTTGATAATCCAAGCAACATATATGTACATAATCATGTCTAGAAAACTATACAGTTATCTATTCTTACGGAAAAATCATCAGAAGATAAAGTCTTTCAGGATCAAAATGGAATCTTTGCTATGGCTTCACATTCACCTTATGGCAAATTTAAATACAGGATAGATGATTAAATTATTTGACTATGAACCCTTTTGTAGAATACAATTCAGGTTACCCAAGGCCCTTCTTCCTCAAGTTTTCTTCAAATGATACAGCCTTACATGCCAGAAAGCATAATGTGGCAATACTTTTGTCACATGATGAGATGGAAAGAATTTCTGTTTAGTTATTAGAGATTGTGCAGCAGGGGCTTACAGATATCAGAACTTTGTTCAGAGCCCCTGAAGTCACATGCAAAGCTCAGTCAGTTTGCATTTCTAGTTTTTTCATGGGAAAATTAAAACTTCATAAAGCTAGCACTATACAAACTTTTATGATCTGGTCTTAAAGGACATAATCAGCAGAATTTTCTGCATCTGAAATTCAATGTTTCTGTGGCATCTCTGTCAGCAAGAATAGGTTGAGTAGGGGATTCAGAAAAGTTCTGTTACTATTAAGTGAATGTAATTCCATTCTTTGTGCACATCTGCACAGAGGTGAAATCCTCTTACAGCACTGCTTTTCTTTCTCATTGTTACTAGTTCCTGGGTCCTTTTTATGAGCACTTCTGTGAATCAAACCGTTTTCTTCTTTTCATCTATGGAATTTCTTACTAGCTGTTATTTTTAAGTGAGACTTTGGTTTCTCACATGCCTCATGGAAATATAGGCAAATGTGAAAAACATCTACTGGAAAAATCTCCATACTTCAGCAGGCCCAAAGGATTTAATAATCAGCATGAGATTTTCTTCCTCTCGATTAATGACTCTTTTGTTTTAAAAAAAGAGTACTAATACTAAACAAACAAACAGAAAACCCCAGTTGCTTCTCTTTCTCAGTGGTTGTTTTTGGATGTCTTCCAGAATTGTCTTTTGACTGTGGTTGCTGACATCCTGGGCTAAGGCAGTGTTAACTAGCCTCTATATTACTAGAGGGGCTTCAGGGATAATTTTTTTTTTTTTTAAACAAGGAAGAGCCAGTATTCTGGTTTTGTTGGTTTGGCAAGTTTTTTTAAACAGAAAAAGCAGCAGAATGCATATGGCAAATTAAGGACTGATTCACTGACTCCAACATCTGTCCAGAAACATGTCAGCTATGTGTTGTTTGAGAGGGAGAAAAACCTTCTCATAGAGACTTTAAAATCAGAGAAAAATAAAAAATGCCATCCTTTCCTATAAGAAATCTTATAGTTCAACCCCTTTAAATTATAGCATATGAGTAAAGTGTAACAGTCGCTGCAAACTTCAGGTTGGCTGAACTTTTCAAAATAAACAAATTCCTGCTTCATTTCCATTTGCTGATGCACTTAAGAGTAGAAAGCTAGCTGAAGATACGGCCAATTGCAGGTTTATTCAGCCTGTAAGTCATGGTGTATTGGACCAACAGATTACAGCTCTTATTCCTTCCCCCACCTACCACCGGTTTCTGGTAAGAAGCTCACGCTCCCTGGCCAGCAAGATTTTGTAATTAATTTCTGATCCAAATTACACAAGAGTGTAGCATTTTTTCCATTCAGCAAAAAGAAAATGGAATTGCTTGGGTGAAATTTAAAGCCTTGCATCAGCCTGACATGGACCACTGGTCCCTGACAGCTCTTCACACATCTGCTTTGCTCATCAGCTGGCCCAGGGCCAGAAGTGGCTGCTGTGGGTTAGAAAGGGGAAGACTTTTAATGGGAGTTGGAGTAAGAGAGGATCAAGGCCTGTCTTGGAAGAACTGAAAAAAAAATTTTTAAATCAAAATTAGCAGTAGATGAAGAAAGGAGATTCTGGCTGATCATCTGGGTCAGCTGAGTAAGATTCAAACAAGTTTAATCAGTTTATTTGATGAAAAAAAGGTTCAGTGCAGTAAGAGTCAAGATGACACATTTCATATGAGGAATATAAGATGGAAGAGCAAGAAAAAGAAGGCATAATGTCTTCAGACCAATCCTGGCAGCATTTCTTTTTGGAGTTTGAGCTTTCTGGAAACAAACTATAAATACTCTGAAAAATAAAGGAATTACAGGAGAGAAAATATCCATCTTAAAGCTCTGACACACTCAATAGAGAGCCTTACACTTTGTGAGTATTTTAAGAACTGGTGATGTGGCTGAAGGCTACTACATTCAGGATCAAAAAAACCCAAGCTTGTTTCACTTACTCCCTGAGTAAAACAGTAGACCACTTTTTTTCCCATTCATTGACTTTACTGAATTCACTCTTCAGCTACTCAGTGCAAGAAGACATCCTTAGTCCATAATAAGAATTCTCACTACTGCAATAGCATCAGACAGGAAGAGAGAACTTCTGTGAGAAGTAGTGTGGACAGGTAATGTGTACAAGAGTTCAATGAACAGATTCACATTGTTTTAAATTAGGAGCGATTTAAGTTACATGACTTGTGGATAACTTTTCTGAATCACATCAACACCGTGTGTTTTTCAATGCCTGATGTTAAGCACTTAACATGTTTCTTAATTTATTAGGTATGAGCCATGTTAATAGAATATGAAAAACAGCCTTTTAGACAATGATAAAACCCAAGTTGAATCCTCTGAAGAAAATAATGTAGATACAAGCTAAGCTGAAGTGCAGGAACTCCTAATTGTGATCTGAGCATGCACTGAGACAGACCAGTATGTGTGCAGACAACTTGGCACAGGAACTGGGAACAGCACTTCTGGAGTTAAATATATATATTCTACTTCTGCAGCTCGGGTTAAACTCTTCTTGACAATTCCCTTTAGCTTACATTACTGGACTAGATAAGATAAAATTAACGTCCAAGAAAACATAGGCAGTCTTTTTTAAAAAGAGACGGTTTTATACTGCAAGATAATGACTGCCAGCTAATAAAAATTTAAAGCATTAGCACAGCTAGAAACAGTATTACATAAAGTGATCGCAATACTGCAACTTACCTCTTCCCTATGATTCTTTATTGGCATACAGAGAATACTCTGAGTCTTATACCCTGTGATCTGGTCAACTTCTGCATTGAATCTTGGATCCTGATACAAGAAAAAAAATACAGTTAATTGACTACTTGCCTGAAAAACAGTTCCTTTTCTTCCCTGTTTCAAAGGTTAAAAAAAGTACAATATTTGACTTAACTATTACCCAGGATAACAAAGGTCCCACTACTAGCTAATAAATGTATAAAGTTATTACTATCAGTGTGTTAACAACAAAAAAGCATTTATGTAGAACATGAGTGTCTGTGGATAAATACAACTGCTAGAAAGAACAAAAAACTCCAAACCCTAGGAGAAAACTTTTTTGAGCCTAGACCATCATTATAATAAATGTATACACGGACTAACCATTTCTAGCTTTTGTCAAGAAGAAATTACAAAAATATACCGAAAGACATATGGCCACAGAGGAACAAGGTTTCAAGAATGTGGTTAGTGTTCTTGCTTTTAGCAGAGATTTCTTGCTTCATTTTTCAGCTGAGTATTGTTATGAAATTTTAAAAATCAGTTTTATAACAATACATACTAAAATAATTCAGACTGGTTTTAAAGGCTGCTGTTCTTTCCCTGGTAATTGATTTCAAACTGAGCACCACAGACCCAATTCAAGAATGAGCTTTTAATCTATAAGGACAGGTGATGTTCTGCTGTAAACATGTACTAGCCAACATTTAGACATTTTCTGAGGCAGCAAACAAGTGTTTGTTGAAAACAAAACCATATGAAATAATACTGCTCTCTTTTGCTTCTGAAAAAATCTAAATGGTAATGTTACCTAATCCTGCAAGCATGCTCAGATTAATTGAGAGATTATCAATCTGAAGCAGTAATTTTCAAATCTATTGTGTACCTTTATTAGTTAATTAATCAATTAAATAATTCATTACAATTTCCATCATCCCTAAATTCAATGCACAAAAATCAGCATATCCAACAAGCCTGGAATGAAGAGATGTTAAATTGAGATGCAGGAGATGTCCTCTCCCAGTGCTGGATTTTCTTCCTTTTTTCATCTGGCCTTGTATCAAAATAACTCAAATCAGAGTAGCATTTCATTTGGGAGACTTCTGTACGGTTCAAACCCTCATCCTGTTCTTGTTCCTTCAGCTCCTACCCTTTGTGACTCAGGTATGATAAAATTCTTCAAAGTGTTTTTAATTACAGGACTCCAGTTTTGAAGACAATTACATCACAATTTCATGCATTTTGGTGCGGAAGTACCTTATGTCCTTATACAAGCAGAAATTTAAACATTTAAGTGTCCAAACCTAGAAATACAAATCCTGGTGTGCCGATAGCTGGTTAAAATGGGGCTGATGCCTGTTAATTTCAAACTTACATAATTTATTTTGATGTTAGCATTCCTCTAGTCATAGCTACATATTTCTGTATATGCATGTATCTATAATACATGTATCGTAACAAAAAACATGGTGTCAGGTTTGCATCTTGACTCATTTAAGTCAATGTGGCTCCAAATACATATACTAAAATGGGAATATTACAACTGCTGATAATATGCCTTTTTCTTTTTCCAAGAATTGTTCAAGATAAATTTTCTTGGTTTACCTCATACGCATTCTTGATGTTCAGAGGCTGGCCTATAGCTGCTACATGACCCACAATGCCCTTGTTCCACTCCAGGCGAATGCAGTTGTTGGAAGCTTCTTCCAGGGTGGAGCCTTCAGCCACATCAAACAGCCTGCTTACAAGGAACTTCTCATTAGAGCTATCCTCACAGACCAAAAACAGGGAATAGCGATCTGCTGCTATAAGCTCATGGATATGTAGGAAAATTTTATGGCAAAGCGCTGTGACATCTAAGTGACTAGAAATATCTTTCACAAGTTCTAATAGTCTTGAGCATTGATCCCCTGCACTGGTCTCAATCCTTGGAGATTGCAGAGGCATCTGTTCCTTCTTTTCAGAGCCGGAGAGGAAGCTTACTGCTCCTACTGAGTCCTTGACAAAAATAGGCCTTAAGGGTCTGTCAAATTCAGAAGCAGAGATCTTCCTTGCTGGCGTCCCAGAGCTGGTGGTCTCAGGACAGGCAGGCTGGTGACAAGCACAGGATTCACTCTGGGACTTGGTTCCCTCCTTGCAGACTGGGATGGTATGAACTCTCTCAGCAAACCATGCATTAACCATTTCTCTGCAAAACAAATAAAAACACAGTGAATGATGTAAGTTAAAAGTCCTCAGGAACTAATACGTAATTGAAGAGGACATGACAAAGAGGATAACTTTAAACCTTTTCATACAGTGGACACGAGTACACCTTTAGTGCTCCTCTGTATCAATATTATTCAATTCTACACAGCACTTATATGCCCCGTGAAAGGGAAGCTATTTCTGCCTAAAGGAAATACCTGAATAGGGCAGAGGAAGGCTGCTTATACTGTGGCTTTCAGAATATAGAAGATCAGAAGTTTACACCAAGTTCTGGTCCTTTCCATTCCCAAGATTTGGATTTCTGTGTAAGATGTATATATATATATATATTCACATGGAGACAAAACTCTTTTTAATTCTGTTTTTCTAGACTATTTCTAACTTTTAAAGAGATAATTTTGAATTTTAATTCTCTCTGTCAAATCACCTGCAGCCCCTCCTGTTTTTATGTTGCCCACACACTATTTTTAAGTTAACTTCCCCTGCTCTCTTAGAGTTAATGAAAAATGCTGTTTTGACTCAAAGCACCAAAGTTTTGTTTAAAAACTGTCATAAAGAAACATGGGTATTTCTAATTCAACCCCCTTCAAAATAATGAAAAGACAGTTTTCATGCATCTCCCATTTCCTTTCCTTGGAGATGAAACTCACTGACCAACTCAACCCAAAATACTGAATACCCCCAAAATTCTATTTTTGGAGAGTGTACCATTAATTAAAAAATGTCACACATCTCGTATCTGTGTTTTTCAAATTACTTTAGCACTTGAATGCCAACCCTAATAATGTCCTCGCTAAATACAGCATATCTTGATTTATCCAAAAGCACACATATCATCAGTAACATGAGTATACTTTTTCCAATCACTACAATATTTCCTTGTCCAAAATCTGTTGGTTTGTTTGGGCTTTTTTTTTTTTTTTTTTTTTTTTTTTTTTTTTTTTTTTTTTTTTTTTTTGTAAATACAGTGCTTTTTATGTCGTTTACTCAGCGTTGAGGATTCCTCACAGCACATGATCTACACTCGGAAGAAATGTTTTTTTTCTGAATTACATAATGTATGGGCATACGAACAGCAAAAATCCTATTAAAAAGTCTGATCTTTTGGAAACCTTTCATGGTGGTCATGTTTTAAATTTGGGATATTTTTTATTTGCTCAGCAGACCACAGGAATTTCGAGAGTGAAGCTGAATGAAACCATGGAAATTAGTCAGGTTAGTCAGCCGCTGATCAGTTACATGCATCAGTATATGTTAAATATGAAAAGCACTGTACACAGTATTTTTTTCCTTACAGAACTGATTCATCTATCTTGTAGAATGCAATATTGCAAATGAAATTAACTATTAATTCAAAGGAAAATAATCGATTAAAATTTGAAGTCCACCAATATTATTCTTATTAGCAAGCAGTCCACAACAGGAAACTTATTTGTCTTCTATTAGGAGGGTTTGAAAGAATTTTTTAAATTTTGCAGTCACATATCATTTGGAGACCTCAACTGCAGGCAAACATGCTAATGAAAAAATTAATTGATTTAGGAAATAGTGTGACTGTAAAGGGAGCACCTGGGAAAAAAAAACAAAACAGTCATTGTGTTACTGTACCCATTCCGCTTCTGTGTGAGCTACCTGGTAATTTTTTTCCCCTCAAAAAAACTATGTCTGACTGAGGTAAACATCACTCAGTGTAGCACTGGAAAATCAAATTCTTCTCTTATTCACACCAGTGCAACTCCAAATAAATGGATGATAGACTATTCTTTATTTGGGCTTCTGTCTGTGTACTGTAGTCCTGATCATGCCAAACCTTGCATACATGGTTAATATTTATAGCCCCAGTGATCTTCAAGGCTGAATGGTCAGTGTGGTCACATAGGACACTTGTGAATCTTCTGAAAATCAGAGATTTAGAACCACTGAGTGAAAAGTTGGGACATAATTAAGGTGGTGGGAGTTTTGCCTCTGAGTTCCACAGAGCTAGGATTTCATTCCATGTTCTTACATTTTCCATGAAGCTCCTGGAACAGCGCTTGCTGTAGCAATAATATACCTCAATCACCATCTATTATAAATTTCCCAGCAATCTAAAGCCAGTCCAGTTACTGGAAACATGGTGCCAGAGAACACAATGAAATTCCATTGTTATTCTGAAAGAGTTTTGATTCACTGCTAGCTACTTATTTTTAAAGGAAGCAACCTCTGCTTTTTAAGTATATTAATAAAAACTACCAATGATCCTTATTTATTATAGCAGCAATATGTTGGTTTGTTGTTTTTTTTTTTTTTTGTGGAGTTACCTCAGCCCAAATGTTTCTTGCAGTGAAGAAGCATAAAGAACAACTAACATATCAGAACTTTGACTTTAATAAGATTATAGTACTTAACCAGGATAAATATTAAACGTGGGAGCTGTGACCATGTATAACTGAAATGCATAATATATTTTGCATATCACATTTGCAAAAGCTGTTTCAATGAGAGTCAAAATAAGAAGCTAGCACTTAGTGACATTTGGTATTTTAATTTATTAAACTGAATGAGAACACAGAATAAAAATTTGTGATGAAAATGACCAAAAGTATCCTTAAGAAAAATAAAAAGCTTAAAATGCAAAAAATTGTAAGCAAACACAGTAAACTGCTAAAATCAGTGCTGATATCTCTTGTCATCATGTGTGTTATATGTGGGGTTTTTTAGTTTTACTCTGATTTCCTCAAGAAAATAAACTACCTGGAAATTTTAGTTTTTTTCTAAACAAAATTTAGCATCTAGCACTAAGGCTGCAGAAGAGAACCTGAAAACACAAGCTGGGTGCATTTAAAGCCTCAGACACAAGGAGGTAGATATAGAATAATCAATAGTTTTGAAAGAAGGCTTATGACTTGACCCAGTTTCATGGCTCTGTGTGCTGACTTGATTTTTGAACATCCAGGACTGGCATTAATGTAAAATAAGATTTAAAAGTAACTGTAATAACCTAGTATCAGATGGAGAGCATTCTTAAACTAGCAAGTGATTAGGCATAGGAAACCCTGTACTTTGTCTAGGCATGTCTGAAAATGCACAAGCGTGAACCCGTGCTATTGTCAAGTGACGGCAATTTGTAGAGCAATCTGATTCACTGCTTATTTACACAGGAGGAAAGGAGAAGATAAAATGCTGTAATTTCACTTAGCTCTGTTTTACACTGAATTTACATACATGGATGTGTTGATAGAAGAATCAAGGCAGAGAAAGAATGAGGTATCCTTTATGGACAAAGCCAAAGCTAAAGCAAAATTTTATCAGTTGAAACCTGCCATTTTATTTATTCTGGAATGTAATGATATCCCCTGGCCTTAATGGTGTAATAACAGTAATCAGTAAGAACAATGTATTCTGAATTCTAGTACAAGTTCTCAAACTGTGGCCATGAGATAATTTAGTTTCTACCTTCTTGCCTTTTTACCATGTAAAAATAAGCATTTTTTTCTCTATCTTATGGAGATTATTGAGAGATGTGGAACATAACTGTAGTATCTTTCATATGAAATGAAATACATTTCTTCAATAAGAACTGACTACTTGTTAGATATCTGCACCATTTATGAAGCACTTTGACACTGAACAGAACTATATGTGGAACTACATAATTATGAGTAACATATGCCTGTCCCCTTTACTGTTTCTCAGATGATGGTCCAGTAACTTCCCAACACAGTGTGCAATTCTCAAAAAGCTCTGGGGGTTAACAACACATCTTTAAGTATACTGTTTAAAGAATGGCTTTCAACTTCAAACCGTTCAGACATTTTTATCTGAGCAACAGAAAAGCCGTTCAAATTCAGCTGGAATAAGAACAGTGTTCACTGACCTTTACTGAATGCCCCTTCTAACAAGGAAACTATTTAGCTCCTTTTACTCACAGTTATACACATGGGTGGAAGAACTAGCATTTCACATTAACTGATATATTCTAACTCTATTTGAAATCTGTCAGTCTTGACATGCATTTGCTGGTTGACACTCAATCCTATTTAGCAGTGCACGACAAGAAGAGTATCATTATTAACACAACTACTTTCTCAGCGCAGAATTAGCTCAACAGATATCCAGTACCAGACACGTACGGAACCACAAGTGAAGTTACTGGAAATTAGTAACAAGTGCTATGTATGATTAAGATGTCATTTTGAAAGGACTGCAAGAAGAAACAAAAACTTGTGACTATTCTATTCATACCAATAGTTTTCAGTAAGCATTGACATTGTCAAAAGGTAATTGTAAGGACAAGACCTTTGCTGTGGAAGTAAGTTTAGAAGTTAAAACCAAGGCAATGTCTCCAACCTGCCACAGCAATCACTCTGTCTTGAGGAGTTACAGGCATCAGCATCCATTCCTCATAAGCTGCATGCATCCTTTACTGCAGTATGAGCCTCCACTCAGGAAAGCTATAATTTATCACAGAGTTCATAAACAGGAGTAATTGAATTTGAAGTAACCATTTTTAGTCACTTCTATCAGCCAAATCCAGTCTTTCCTCTGTAAAGCACAATTTCAATGGAGTAGGACAGTGACTGCTGAATTTGGCAGGTGACCTCATCAGCAGATGACAAAATTGAAGAGGAATTTTGAAGATAGGGATGAGAAGGGGATGAAAATACAATGGCAGGTAAAACATTTTAAGAAAAAAAAATGACTACGTGATCCTCACCTCTATAGTCACTTGTATACAAGTACACATTACCTGCATTACATGAGAACTCGGGAATGTCAGATGAATTAAGGCTCTTTGGCCCTGATTTGGAAAACACTGTACAGAAAGTAGACCTGTCCCTAAAGCAAGAAGTTTTCAATATGGATAGGCAACAAAAATAGAAAATCACTGGGTGAGAAAACACAAGCACAAGGAAGAGACATGGCTTGAGCTAGGTCATACAGAATGGCACAAGTAGACCCGAAGACAACCTCAGGTCTAAGACCTGAAGAGGGCCCTGC